AAACTTTGTGAGATCAGTCATGAACCTTCTAATATTTTTAAAATGCTTAAGTTATATCAGCTAACGTATTTAAGCAGTAAACTTTGTGAGATCAGTCATGAACCTTCTAATATTTTTAAAATGCTTAAGTTATATCAGCTAACGTATTTAAGCAGTAAACTTTGTGAGATCAGTCATGAACCTTCTAATATTTTTCCTTTCAGATCCCCCAACTACTCCTAAATTGTCGGTGACCTCTGTAACTTTCTCCTCCATCCAGGTCAAATGGACATTACAAACAGCTGACAGTGCACCAGTCTCCGGTAAATATCTGAGCACTTTAGGTACATGCGATTAGTTGAAGAGAACCCTCTGTATAACGTCTGTATGTTTCTGGTATATGTTAAATTCTTAAATACGCAATTATTTAATACAACAACACGTATGTCTTATTAATTCGTATTATAATACAGAATTTTGATTGGCCGAAGAGTCATCTGTCTCCGCCTCTTTGTTACGCAACTTATTAATAAAAAAGAAAGCAAAAACAACTGTCATATTTAAAAAGAAACACAAATCAAATATGAACTTACTTATTCACTTGAGTTTTTTATTAAGCTTTATTTACGTATATAGAACGTATAGTACAAGAAGTTAAGTTTTAAAATACTCTAATTCTCTGCTAGACATTAATTCAATTTCTACAATCAATTCTAATAGTAGTTAAAACAACTATTTACTGTTACTCATTTTTAAAATCCGAAACAGGTTTTATTCTCAGTCACAAGCATGGTACGAAAGACTGGACTAAGACACGCCTACTCAGAGATGCCCGGATGCATACCATCTATGGTCTGCATTGTGGTACACGTTACGACTTCCTTATTGTGGCATTTAACGATGTAGGAGAGAGTTTACCTAGTGACATCGTTCACGCGAAGACCAAAGGTGCAGGTAATTATCGTTATAATATTATAGGTATGAATGGTCGAAAATCATTAGATACAAAACTGGAGGAACAATGGACAAGTGGAGTTGAAAACCAGTGAATGAACTTAAACATAGACCCACACTAAATAAATTAGTAAAAACTTAATTCCACAGAAGTAATTATTCAAGATAAGGAACGTTTTTATTTATTTATTTTGAATAAGTAGACTCTCTTTAATCACGAGTTTCAAATCTATACTGCCCGTCTAAAACTTTGTGACTGTATGAGGACAGCAGAGTTGTAGGGAATTGGGAAGAGTAACTGATTCTGCAGAAGATCCCCATCGATACACACTTATTGTAATTTTGAAATATATAAAATTTACATGCCCAAAGTGTAACTTTGGCTACGTGGGCTCTACTTTAGGTTCACGTATTAAAGAGCATGCGCAGAATACTGTATATAATCACTACTTTCATGACTGCGAAGTAAATGTCGTTTCTAAAACCCTTCAACATCTTGGAGAGTGCGTGCAACAGAGAGATGCTAAGCACGAAGAAACGTTTGTGGATTTACAAGATACGCCCTGAATTAAACGTTAATCAAAAAACGTGTGCTTATTAATTACACACAAAAAAGACAGAGAGTATGACTTGGTGTGTATTCGTAGCCTAGTCTATCGGCGTGATAATCTACCGAAAGTGCATGTAGAATAAGATTGAGAATATTAAAAACGATGAGAAATAAAATATGGCTGCCAACTGTGAAAATAGTTAATAGTATCGTCTGTATTGAGAAGTAAATAAGTGGGATCAGTGGGATTCTTTATCAGCATGCCTGTATTTTCTGTATTGAGAAGTAAATAAGTGGGGTCAGTATGATTCTTTATCAGCATGTCTGTATTTACTGTATTGAGAAGTAAATAAGTGTGGTCAGTATGATTCTTTATCAGCATGCCTGTATTTTCTGTATTGAGAAGTAAATAAGTGGAGTCAGTATGATTCTTTATCAGAATGCCTGTATTTTCTGTATTGAGAAGTATATAAGTGGAGTCAGTATGATTCTTTATCAGCATGCCTGTATTTTCTGTATTGAGAAGTAAATAAGTGAAGTCAGTGTGATTCTTTATCAGCATGCCTGTATTTTCGGTATTGAGAAGTAAATAAGTGGAGTCAGTATGATTCTTTATCAGCATGCCTGTATTTTCTGTATTGAGAAGTAAATAAGTGGAGTCAGTATGATTCTTTATCAGCATGCCTGTATTTTCTGTATTGAGAAGTAAATAAGAGGAATCAGTGGTCAATACAGAAAATACAGGCATGCTGATAAAGAATCAGAAGTAAATAAGTGGGGTCAGTATGATTCTTTATCAGCATGCCTCTATTTTTTGTGATGAACAATATAATGTTAGGTTTTAACACCAATTTTTATACACAATGTAAGCCATCTTAAGAATTATACCGTTTTGTGTTATAAAAGCTGCCACTACGTGACTCCAAGGGTTGTTTTCAGTTCTTAATGCAAACAAACATTTCTGTGTTTAATTCTATTGTGTTTATTTGTTGTGTTGTGTTCAGTATCTTAATGTAGACAAACACTTCTGTGTTTAATACTATTGTGTTTGTTTGTAAACATGTGTTATGATCAAATTTTGGGAGGAACCGGGAAGAAATAAAATGAACTTTTTTACAATTCTTGAAATAGAAAAAAAAATTGAAATACGATTGTTTATTAAATTTCAAGAAGTGTGGTAAAAGGCCTGGAATGGCCTGGCGGTTGATCACTCGATTCACAATCTGGGGGTCGCAGGTTCGAATCCCATCAACCAACATGTATTTTCAGTCGTTGAAGCATTATAATGTACGGCCAATCCCACTATACATTAGTTAAGAATATCCCAAGAGTTGGCGGTCGGTGGTGTTAACTTGCTGCCTTCCCTCTAGTAAAGTGGTTCTCAAACTTTTTTGTCTACTGACAATTTCAGTGGGGCAAAAGACCCACTGGACCCCCGACCCTATCCCACCCACTTTTGCTTGTCACCGTTAAAAATAAAATGAAATTGAAATAAAAACTAAATAGAAATTTTCATTTTAGACCAGCCCCCCCCCCCGGACCACCTACGAGGACCGTCTTGTGCCACCGGTGGTTTTAGACCAGCCCCCCGGATCACCTGCATGACCGTCTTGTACCACCGGTGGTTTTAGACCAGCCCCCCGGACCACCTGGAGGACCGTCTTGGGTTACCCGTGGTTTTAGACCAGCTCCCCGAACCACCCTGGAG